AATGTTCTGTTTAAAAAATGATATAATACCTAATAGCATGGGACTATAAAAACCTTAATAAATTAGAGTGGCAATATAGATATAGTTACAGAAGAAAATACTATTGTTGATTTCACTATCAGAAGGTGTGGGGAGCAACTCAGACTAGACTAAGTTACTCGAATTAAGACTTATTCTATGCATCTGCTCTCCCACAATATGGCGCTGGGAGAGGAGGAAACAGCTTCTACACAGCTGCCTCCAGTTCAACCAATAAACAGCAGGACCTGCTCCTGATTGGAGGAGAGCAGCGTACTCAGCGTGTGGGTAGCAGAGTTGGGATTGGTGGAAGAGGACTATAAAGGAGGAGAGAGACAACATGCACCAGGAACACCTGAGGAACATCTGAGCAGCCCCATAGAGAGCCGGCCGGTGGTGTGCCGCTCCCCCGCGGAAGTGGGGAAAGTGGCAGGGGGAACCGCCCTTCCACGGAGGTGGAGGGACGGCAGCCAACCCGGGAAGAACCAGCAGCAAACCCGGGGAGGGCCGAGCAGACGAAAGAACAGCACAGGGTCCTGTGTCGTTCCTCCGTGAAGAGGGGGAGCAACAAGAAGGTACTCTATTGTCGTTGTATCCATCTTGCAAAGAAATTATTCTCCATAGATTGAAGACATATTGGTTATTTAACTTTTTTTAAATAAATGGGCTGTAGAATGTGCACATTAAGAGTTCAAGCCCAGGAATCAAATGCACCTGGGTAAATTCTCAGTTCTGCAACTCACTATGTCTGTAACTGAGCACGTTGCTGAATCTCACTTTACATCAGCTTATTCATCTGTGAATTGAAATCAATAACAATCTCTCTCACTGTTACTATTATTAATATTATTGGGATACAATTAACAGTTAATGTGTGCTTTACATACTTAGGATGAGTTTAGGTAAAGAACTTTTTCCATGGTTTATCTATATATAGAAAAAGAGAATGCAGAATTTCATAAAATCCTTAGAAGTAATCTAACTTGGCTCTTCATCAACACCAAAATGCTTGTTAAATACCTCCCGTCAATTATTCCTCAGACTTCCATGGAAGCAAAGGATCACCTTGTTCTGACTTTATGCAGCTTAAGTTGCTTATTCCTAAAACCAATTTTACATCTAGGAATCTGACATTTTGGCTCTAAACCTACCATTTGGAGAGAATAGAGAAATGTAAAATTCCTTTTTTTAATTTGTTAAATTAAATTAATAAAAATTAATATATAAGCCCAGAACCTACTATTTTTCTTTTCTTCCAGGGGCCCTTCATTGCTCTGATGCCTAGAATATTTTCATCACCAGATTGATTCTACATGTATCTTAATGACTACATTATAATTGTACGTATTTATGGGAGTGTGATATCAATATCTTAGTGGGAACCAAGAGTGAACAGAGTAATATCAGCATTTAGGATATAGCTGGATTAACTTCCTGGTTCTAGGAACTTAATTCCATTTCTTTTTTTAAAGATTTATTTATTTACTCAAAAGTCAGAGTTACATAGAGAGAGAGGGAGAAGCAGAAAGAGAGAGGTCTTCCATCCGCTGGTCCACTCCTCAGATGACCTCAATGGCCAGAGCTGCGCCAATCCAAGGCCAGGACCCAGGAGCTTCTCCCAGGTCTCCCACACGGGTGCAGGGCCCCAAGGAGCTGGGCCATCTTCCACTACTTTCCCAGGCCATAGCAGAGAGCTGGATGAGAAGTCGAGCAGCCCAGACCTGAACCAGCACCCATACAGGATGCCGGCTCTGCAGGCGGTGGCCTTACCTGCTATGCCACAGCACCAGCTTCACTTAATTCCATTTAATGCAGTCCAAATATTGAGTAAATTGTGAATTAAATTGTGTTATTGTCTACTAACTGTTATTTTCCTTGGTGTCAAATTAAAGATTGTGAAATTTATGTTTATAACGTATAATTACTTTATTCAATTTAAATTTTCTACTTATATTACATAAAACAAAAAATTTTATTTGTTATAGTCTATAAAGTACATGTAATAACAGAAACTTACTCTACAAAACAAATGGATCAACAAAACAAAACTATAAGCTATTGATGTCAATAATACTTTAAAGTACAGTAAAAATTAATATGGATAAATATTTTTTAAAACTAATATAATATGATCTTTTATTTAAATTATATCTGTTTTGAAAAGATAAGTGATTTCAATTGATTTATTTATATTTTCAGTTTTATGTAACAGTCTTCAGGTATACAGTTGATTTTTTATTTTAATTTTTTAAATTCTTAATGACTACATAATAATTGTACATATTTATGGGATAGAGTGTGATATCAATATTTATATGTAAAATATAATTAGATCAGGGTGATTAAAATATTTAATACTTCAAATGTTTATTTTTTGTGTTGAGAACAAATTCCTTTCTACTAGCTATTTTAAAATATACAATTAATTGTTGACAAAAATAATAATAATTATTGTCAACAATTACACTATTGTGAACAACAGAACTTTAGAAGTTATTTCTCCTATACAACTGCACCTCTGTCTCATTTTTTTAAATTTATTTTTTAAGGAAAACAAATTTCATAAGTACAACTTTAGGAATATAGTTATTCCTCCCACCATACCTGCCCTCCCACCCACACTCCCACCCCCCTCCTCCTTCCTCTCACCTTGTCATTAAGATTCATTTTCTTTTTTTTGTTGTTTTTACTTATTTTTTGACAGGCAGAGTGGACAGAGAGAGAGAGAGACAGAGAGAAAGGTCTTCCTTTTGCCGTTGGTTCACCCTTCAATGGCCGCCGCGGCTGGCACGCTGCAGCCAGCACACCGCTCTGATCCGATGGCAGGAGCCAGGTGCTTCTCCTAGTCTCCCATGGGGTGCAGGGCCCAAGTACTTGGGCCATCCTCCACTGCACTCCCTGGCCACAGCAGAGAGCTGGCCTGGAAGAGGGGTAACCGGGACAGAATCCGGCGCCCCGACCTGGACTAGAACCCAGTGTGCCGGTGCCGCAAGGCAGAGGATTAGCCTAGTGAGCCACGGCGCCAGCCAGATTCATTTTCAAGTAACTTTGTACACAGAAGACCAACTCTATACTAAGTAAAAATTTCAACAATTTGCACACACACACGCACACACGCACACAAAACTGTTTGCAAACTAGGTTTACAGTTAACTCTCATAACACAACGCATTGAGGACAGAGAGCTTCCGTGGGGAGTTAGTGCAGGTGACCCCTGTTGTTAATTTAACAATTAACATTCCTATGTATGATGTCAGGGACCACCTGAGGCTCTAGACATGAACTGCCTGGGCTATGGAAGTCTTTGAGTCCACAAACTCTCTGTCAGTATTTGGACAAAGCCATAAGCCAAGTGCAAGTTCTCTCTTCCCTTCAGAGAAAAGTTCTGTCTCATCTTGAGTCCCCACCACCACCAACCCCTATCCTTCCCAGCCTCTGGTAACCACTTTTTTTTTTTTAAGATTTTATTTGTTTTACTTGAAAGTCAGAGTTACACAGAGAGAGAAGGAGAGGCAGAGAGAGGGAGAGTGCTTCCATCCACTGGTTCACTCTCCAGATGGCCACAATGGCTGGAGCTGCTCTGATCCGAAGCCAGGAACCAGGAGCTTCTTCGAGGTCTATCAATGTGGGTGCAGGGGCCCAAGGACTTGGGCCATCTTCCACTGCTTTCCCAGGCCATAGCAGAGAGATGGCTAGGCAGAGGAGCAGCCGGGACTAGAACCAGGCCAGGGCGTTAACCCGTTGTGTCACAGCACGGGCCCCCACTATTTTTTTAAAAGATTTATTTATTTTTATTAATTTGAAATATTTACACAAAGAGAGAGAGAGGGAGACAGAGAGAGAGAGAGAAAAAAGAGAGACAAGAGAGAGATCTTTCATCTGCTGATTCACTCCCTGAAATGGCTGCTACAGCCATAGGTGGGCCAGACCAAAGCCTCCTCTGGGTCTCCCACATGGGTGCAGGGGCCTAAGGACTTGGGCAATCTTCCGCTACTTTCCCAGGTGCATTAGCAGGGAGCTGAATTGGAAGTGAAGCAGCTGGGACTCAAACCAGCATCCATAGGGGATCCCAGTTCTACAGGTGGAGACTTAGCCCTTTGTGACCCAATGTCAACCCCATAACCACTGTTTTGTTCTCTTCTATGAGATCAACTTTTTAAGCTTTCACAAACAAGTGAGAATATGAGTTATTTATCTTGCACAAAAGATAAAGTGTTTTTTTAGGATAAAGTTAAATAGCATGACAATTTAAAATAAAATTGAGAAGACGAATCAGTTTTCTATGTTGACCTGATAGGAAAATGTTGGTCCAACTAGCATAAGTAGAAACATGCAAATCAACTTTATCAGACATATAAAGGGGAGATTTTTAACCAAAACAGTTTATTGGTCCATCATGATGATAGACCCTTCCTCAATTGCTTTTGGATCACTAAATGTTTAATGTTTACTTGGCATAAAATATGAAATTATGTGTAACTGAATAAAATTCAATTGAAAGCAACTAAAAGTTTAATTAAACCTCAAATAAAGTGTTTTTAAACATTTAAAATACAGTAAAAGGAACCTGGGTTGTAGCATAGAGGGTCAAGCCATCTCCTGCAACACCAGATTCCATATGGGCACTTATTCAAGTCCCAGCTGCTCAGCTTCTGATCCCTCTCCCTGCTAATGGCCTAGGAAAGCAGAGACCAGGAAGAAGCTCCCGACTGTTGGCTTGGGCCTGGCCCAGCCTTGGCTATTGTGACTATTTGGGGAGTGAACCAGAGATTGAAGATCTCTCTCTCGCGCTCTGTCTTTCTCTCTCTTTCTCCCCTGCCCCATAACTCTGCCTTTCAAAATAAATAAATAATCTTTAAAAAAACATAAAATGCAGTATAAATAGTAAATAAGATTAAAGACTTTTAAGTAGAAAGGATAACACAAAAACGTAGAGAAGAAAGTTAAGGAGAAGAAAGTTTAATGCTCATCTTAAGTCTTACTTTTCAGGTCAGCAGTTTTGGAATAATTCAAAGATGCCTTTTGTCTTGTGGCCAGTTTGACCTATCCTGTTCCAGAATAATCAGTGCTCACTGAGAAAGTTCAAAGTCCTGAGGAATGCAAAGAGTGGCAGTGTTGAGATGTGTATAGTAAAGAACAATGCCTTTAAATCCCCAAATAATTATGCTTAGATTAACAATGCTTTGGAAACTATATCTTGTTTTCTATATGCTGTCACAAATACTTTGTAGAAGGTTGATACAGAAAGGCCAGAAATGCCAGTTCATAAGTAACACAATGTAGATCCAAACACCAAAAAATAAATATGGAATGTTAATTTCCTAGTTTTATCTAGAACTGATTGTTTTTGCTAAGTTCTATTACTCTCATTTGAAAACAGGACATTACACTGTAACATATGTTGAGCACTAAGACATCACTTAATCTCATCTTGTATATAGTTTGATGGTACTCACTATTATCATATCCAAAAAGAAATTCCCTGAGTCAAGAAAACATGATATAACTGAGTATTGTAGGCATTCTTTGTGTTTAAGTATCCAATCTGTGCTTCACTAAAAAGGAATTCAAAAGACATAGTGCCACATTATCTAGCAAGCTTCAGAACAAAACACTGTAGCCCAATTTAAACAACCAAATACCGTTTTGAATATCATAACTTTTTCATATTGCATCTCATTTTATTTATTATTAACAAGATAGCCTCATTAAGATTACTTACCAAAATAAATTTAGAATCCTCATATTATATTATTTTCTTCTTGGCAACCAGAATATACAGTTGCAGAATTCAGAAGTTTTGTGTATTTCCTCATTCATTTAGATGATCCAAGCATGTTAAAAGATGCAGATTGTTTCTGTCTCCTACAGAACAGGAACAGTCATGTGGTTTCGTTACTCACAGAGAATGCTTTGGTAAGTAGATACTTTCTCATCTGTGCCTTCCTTCTCTTGAAAGCTGAGATTTAATACTCTTAGATGACTTTGTACTGGAAAACAAGGGAAAAAGAGAGGCAGAAAGCTGGTCTGCTAACATTTAGTAGATCAACAGAAGATTTTGAGGTCAGAATCAGAAATTTCTGCTAAAATTTTGTCTCATAGGAATATTTTGTCTTATAATTTAATAGATTGATTAGACGGCTTGAAAATCTAGTCAATGCGAATTAAAAATAAGAATGGGGGCCGGTGCCGTGGCTCAAAAGGCTAATCCTCCACCTTGCGGCGCCAGCACACCAGGTTCTAGTCCAGGTCGGGGAGCCGGATTCTGTCCCGGTTGCCCCTCTTCCAGGCCAGCTCTCTGCTGCGGCCCAGGAGTGCAGTGGAAGATGGCCCAAGTGCTTGGGCCCCGCACCCCATGGGAGACCAGGATAAGTACCTGGCTCCTGCCATCGGATCAGCGCAGTGCGCCGGCTGCAGCGTGCCGGCCATGGCGGTCATTGGAGGGTGAACCAACGGCAAAAGGAAGACCTTTCTCTCTCTCTCTCTCACTATCTACTCTGCCTGTCAAATAAAAGAGTGGGGGCCGGCGCTGTGGTGCAAAGGGTTAAAGCCCTGGCCTGAGGGGTGGGAATCCCAAATGGCGCCTGGTTCTAGTCCTGGCTGCTCCTCTTCCTATCCAGCTCTCTGCTATGGCCTGGGAAAGCAGTAGAAGATGGCCCAAGTCCTTGGGCCCCTACACCTGTGTGGGAGACCTGGAAGAAGCAGCTGGCTCCTGGCTTCAGATCGGCACAGCTCCAGTCATTGTAGCCGTCTGGGGAGTGAACCAGCAGATGGAAGACCTCCCTCTCTGTCTCTACCTCTCTCTCTAATTCTTTCAAATAAATAAAATAAATCTTTAAAAAAATAAAATAAAAATGATATACTACTAATTTTTCAGGTCATATTTTAAAGACTTATTTATTTATCTGAAAGTCTGAGTTACAGAGAGAGAGGAGAGACTTAGAGATCTTCCAATCACTGGTTCACTCCCCAAATGGCCACAAGGTCTGGGGCTGGGCCAGGCCAAAGCCAGGAGCCAGGAGCTTCTTCTGGGTCTACCAGATGGATGCAAGGGCCCAAGGACTTGGGTCGTCTGCTGCTGCTTTCATAGGCACATCAGCAGGTAGCTGGATTGGAGGTGGAGCAGCCAGGACTGGGATACTGATTCTACAGATGGCTGTGCCACAGCACTACCCTTAAGGTCATTTTTGATTCTTATTCCATATATTGAAAATTTTTAAATAGTTACTAAATTTATGATTTTTCATTGAGTTGTGATGTGAGATTAAAAAAAAGTACCCACTCTCATTTTGCATTTCTAGGATTTACTTATAATTCTTTACCTTTGACTTTAAATATTTTAATTTTATGTGATTACATGAAGCACTCATATCACTTACATTTCCCTATTTCTTCTTTTCAAGTCCTTATTTGTATGAAGTGTGTCATTTATATATATACCTAAAGTTTAAAAAACCTGAAGGCTTTTGACATTTAATAGAAAAATTTAACCTAGTTACACTTATTGAGCTTATCTGTTCAGATATTTTCAAAGGGAAATTTCTGATCTATAGCAGACTATACTGTAACAATACCCTATAACGATTTGAAAGTTACTCCTATTTCTATTCTTTTCAGTTTTGGTAACAAAATATTAGACAATTATTTTGATGAATAGATTTTTCAAGGTGTTAACTGGTTAAGACATGCTTTTCTACACACTTTTTTCATTTCTATCTATTCCTTAGCTTAATTTACCATAACAGATAAGATAATAAAGGACTAGAGTCAGGTACAAAAAATGTGTTTATGAGTATCAATTTTTTAAAACTAATGTTTATTCATTTTTACTACTAAATCAAATGAGTGTAACATAATAAAACCCAAAACATGAAAGCCAATACAAGGGCACTCAAAATTCCACTAAGAATACAATGTATTTAAAAAAGGAATACTTAGTAAAAGCAGAAATGCTTCCCTTTATGCTTTTTTACAGATTATTAAAATTACCAAGTCAAGTTGAGGTACCCAATAAATATTCATATCATTATGACTTGGTTTTGATTGTCATTCTCATGAGGCTGTACACAACTATTGAGCTGTTATGTGACTCAGTTTTTTTCATTGATGAAACCGTATGCCCCTTCTGCTGTCAGTGATGTGTAATCAATTTTTGCAGCTTTATTTGTACAGTCTGCAGCACAAAAGCAAACTGAGATTTGCATAAATAATTGTAACATCTAACTTTTGGTTGGTGTGAAGCCATACATCCGTAATAAAAGTAAGATGCTGCAGTAGGAAAAAAGATCATCATTTCCACAGTGTAGTTTTTTGATGGACAAAACCTATGAAAGTCAAATGAGATAAGAACAAGTGTCCCTGTTAATTAGTGTTCAAGCATTCTAATAGAACCCTTACATTTCAACATCTTTAGAGAGAAAGTCATTATACAAGTAAATGCAGAAAGAAAACACTCATGTGAAGAATTTTCATAAAAGTGATATTTTTCCCTGGAGGTGGTGCTGGAACAGGAATAGAGAATTCTTTCTGGTCCGACATCAGGCAGTTAATCCCCCCACCTTCCCATCAAAAATGACCACGTCCTAACCATGTCCTGCGTGAATATGTGCACTTTGTAGATGTCACTGAGTTGAGGAAGCTGAGATAGGGGATTAATCTAGAATATGTGGATGGGCCTGGTACATTCACGAAGGTCCTTACAGGTCAAAGAGGCAGGAAGGAGGGCAGAATCAGAAAAGGAACTGTGCCCACAGAAGCGGAGGTCATAGTGATGAAACTGATGACCTTTGAGATAGGAGGGAGCCTATCTATTCCTGAAACAGGAAAGCTGGAAAAAGCAAACCAAACCAAATCAAAGCAAAACACAGATCTCTCCTAGCATCTCCGAAAGGAACAGAACCTTGATGACTCCTCATCTTAGCCCAGTGAGACTCATTTCAGACTTCTTTGCAAAATTGTAAGATAGTGACTTTGTGTTGTCTGTGGTCATTTGTTACAGCAACAACAGAAACTAATACAAGCCTCCAGAAGTGAGAATTTCTGAGTGAAAGGAAAAGTCATTTCAGCAGGGAAAATTAGCAAATGAGAACTAGATAATTAAATAAACTATCCAGGTAGCTTTGTTGATTAGAGGTAGAATCAAAGTTCGAATGCATATCTTTTTTAAAAGGAAGCAATGAAGGAAGGCGGGGTGGAAGGGAGAGAGGGTGGAAAGGAATGAATGGAGGAATGGAGGGAAGGAGGAAGAGGCAGAGAAGGAAAGGAGGAGGGAGTGAGGGCATAAAGGACAGAAAAGGAGAAAGCATTAATAAAACCTCTAATGGAGGCGTGTGTTGGGTCACAGTGGTTAAGTTGCCCTTTACAATGCAGGCATTCCATATAGGCTCCACTTCTGATCCAGCTTCCTACTAATGCACCTTGGAAACAGCATCCAGATGATGACTCCCACACCCGTGTGGGAAACCTGGATGGAGTTCCAGTCTTTGGCTTTGGCCAGCCCTGGCTGTTGTGGCCATTTGGCAAGTGAACCAGTAGATGGAAGATCTCTCTGTCTCTGCCTCTCACTCTGTAACTCTGACTTTCAAATAAATAAATAAATCTTTAAAAAAATTTTATTCAAATGAAATCTAAAGTGATAATTCTCCTAAAAAATGAAAAAAAGCCAAGTTGTTCTAAAAAAAAAAGAGCACCTGGCAAAAATCTTTGATGCACCTGAATGAGAACTCTGAAGAATGGAATTTAATGCTAAAACATGCTATGACTTCTATTTTGCCACAATCAACTTAGTTGTTCTGCAAATTCTCTGTCATAAAAATTATGTATGTATTGACAAATAATTTTGAAAACTAAGGAAAAAATTAAATAATGTGCAAAAAATATCCTTTACTACCCCACTTTAACCCTCTAGACTTAAGCACTTTAATGTGTAGTGAATCCACATAAAATGCTTTTCTGTTTTCTTATTTTATGAATATTTATACATTCTGCCTTGAAAGATAAGGCTGTTAGGTTTATCTTCTCTTAGTAATGCTTGTTGTGTTAATATTAATACTCTGTTATCTATTCTAAAAGTTTATATTGATTACATAACATAAGCAGTAAGTAAAGTTTGAATAATATAATAAACTACTTCTCATTATATATTTTTAGGTGTATCTCTTATTCATGTACCACATAGGATAGGAAAATGAGTCATACTACACGATCAGAGGTAGTCACCTATTAGCTCTCTACCTCATTCTTTCTTCTACCCTTACTTTTCATGCTTCCCTGGGTGAATATTTATACACCACTGTTTCTATCAAATGTTTTATTTCTACCTTCAGTTATATTTGATTCTGAAAGTACTCACTCTCTCAGTGCTTAGTATATACTGAGCCCTAAAGCAGTTTCAGTGCTTTGTTAATTCCAGCAAATAAAAACACAATAAAAACTGGCCTTGCTCTTAAGTATTCTGTAGTACAATATGGGGAGGAGCAAGAGTCCATACTCAATGATGGATTCCCCAAGAAATCTACTGCAACGATCTGGAGGCAGGATAATGGAAATAACCTAGGGAAATGTTGAGACTTTAAGATTTCAAGACATTCTGTTAAACTCAGTGGTTTACCACATTGAATTTTCAAAACTTAATGGTTTCATTTGGGTATCATTCTTCTGAATTTGATGAAACTGTGGGTTAGAGAGTTTAAGTCACTTATCAAAGGTGTAAGAAGTAGGACTGAAATTTAGAGGTAGACAATTAGATTTCAGATACTGCAAACCAAACCACCATCGTGGGACAAAAATCAGGGCTGAGTCTGAAGCTCAGCATTACAATTTATAATAGATAGCACACTGGGCATGACAAAATAGAGCTGAAAGGGAATTGCTAATCATCAAGTATAATCCCCTCATTGAATTAATATTTTAGAATAATGACTTTTATTTTATTTTACAAAAGGAATTATGCTTTTTTAAAACAATTGAAGCAATACTACAAAGCTCAGACAAAACTAATACAGCATGCCAAATCCCCCCAGCCAGTGCTAGCAGTCAATACTGAGTAAATATTCGTCCATACTCCTCTTCATGAGCATGTTTAAAACATAGGAAAGAGTGTAGGAATCTATGGTCCAGCATTAAATTGTCAGAATTTCAATCCAGACTCTATCTTTTAACAGCTGTATGGCATTAGATATGTAATTTACACTTTCTAGTCTAAGCCTCAGTTTTCTCACCTATAAACTGGTAGTGACAGGGCCTACATTATAGGGTTATTTTAAGGATTGATTTATGGCAACCCTTTAATTGGAGAACTCCATAAACGTGAGCTTCAACTCACAGAAAGGGGAGACTATCCTCAACAAAATCACATAACCCTTATTCACAATGCAATAAAAATTTCCCAATGACAAACACTCTTTCCATACATTCAATTTCAAAATTGAATGGACTTGATGAATTAAATTAGGATTTCAAACAGGGAAATTTCTTCTGTGTTCTATCTCTCCTATGTCTTTGGGGTGTTCTGTAAAATACTCTCTATCTCCTTTGTATCTCCAATTGTTTTTCTCTCCCTTAGATTCTCCCAGTTTGAACACAAATGTGTTTATGGTTTCCTTAAGCTGCAACCACAACAAATATTCCTTTGATTCCTGTCTTCTTGAGAGACTTTCCTATGCACCTCCTACCCTTTTGCCAAAATTCTTGGGGTTGGGACCAATATTGCAGCACATAAATTCTCATCTGTCAGTTGCTTGTCCATGTGGACCTCTTGCTCACAATTTTCACAGAGCTTTATTTTGTGGTCCTCTTTCTGATCTTTGCACCATGTATCAGTATGCAAGAATGAATTAAAGTTGTTTCAACAAGTAACAAATGCTCAGTAAGTAGAACCAAGTCACCTTCAATAGTTTAGTGAATACAAATCAGCATCCTCTCCTTCTCCTGAACCCTCTTCACAGACATCACTAACAATTTACTAACTGTCACGCTTAGGAGCCCCTTTCACACCCTCACCCCTCAACCTCTCTCCAGCACATTTGACACTGCCAAGCCTTTCCCCATTTCTGCTTCCTACTGCCATTGCTCTATCCTGCCTTTATCAGCTCTTGCCTGGGACACTGTAATAACTAGTTCCCCTCCAATCTGTCTTCCCCACCACCTCCAGTTTTCTTTCTACAACCCACATCTGTTAAACTCTAACAGGATTTAATGGGCTACTAAAATAGAGAAGACATTATTCTAACAGCAAATTCTCACAATGTGATAGTGAAAGAACAAAGAAGGGTGAAAAATGTGTAAATAGTAACATTTTAATACCTATAACTATGTATAATGTGTGCATAGTATTATATAGTCCCTTATGTGTGCATTGTAAATAAGAAAAAAAGATACTAAAACAACATGATGTTCTCTGGTGGGACCATACTGAATGCTTATTTTCTAAATGAGTATTTATTACTGTTGCAATTTAGAATCAAACGTGATGTGTAGTAGATTTGAAAGCATTTAATTTTGTCTGAAGCAAAAGGAAATGTCCAAGAAAGCTGAAGAACTAAAATGTCTCCCCCATTAGGATTTAAAGGACAAAGGAACAAGTTTATTTTAGCTAGAAGGAGAAGCATGAGAAAGTCCCACTGATGTGTGAACGCATGTTACATATTCAATATACAGAGAATATTCTACAGGCTAGAGAATACAGTGGGTTTCCATTACGATGCCTTCCTCTATATTGCTTGTTTACATCATGATTTCATATTTATCTTTCAAGGTGTTTTCTGAAGAGTCCCATTCTCTGGACAGCCTTCTGTGACCAACGCTGGATGTTTAACCACTCTCATCTCTAGTCCTAGCCCTAGGCCGTGCCTCCCCATCACTGCCTGACTACATCCCAGAAATACATTCCCTGAAACTACTTTCCTGCCCCCACAATCAACTTGTATGAATCACCACTTGTATGAATCACAACTTGTATGAATCGTTTCTCAGTAGTAACAAGGAAAGTGACAGACTCAAGAAAAGTACAAGTAATCTAATTTTTAAATTTTCTAGTAATTTCCACAGAATTTTATCTTGTGGACTTCTTTCTGGTTTTTGTACCATAAGTTGGTGTATGAGAACAGTTTCAGGTGTTTTGACAAGTAACAAATACATAGCGAGTATCTAGCACAATTGCTACTTTTCCATCCAGTGTCACCTTTCTAGTAGACATTATATTAATTTTAATGTGACTGAGAGATTAGGTGAAATGGAAGAAAGACTGAGAGATTAGGTGAAATGAGAGTATAGAACTCAGATTCTAGTCCTGGGATTGCTGACTAGCTAGCTGTATGATTTTGGGAAAATTCTAGAACCTCTTTTGTCTTCAATTCCTTCATTCTTAAATTGAAGTCTTCATTTGAGCTCATTTAAAAAATCCTTCCTTACTCTAAAACTCAAGATCTATAAAAGAAATCAGATGTACATTTACTTTAACTCATATCTCATTTTGCCCTTTGTAAACTGACCTTTAATGTCTTTTCCAACATTGACTTTGCTTTTTAACATTTGAATAACTATGACAGGTGATATAAAGTAAATGTGAATTCTGCTGAGTATCAATATGAAGCCAGCTTTTCCAAACACTAAAATAAATGAATTTTAGACAAAATATTTGCAGACCCATAAATTCATCATATTTTAGTCACTAAAAAATTAGTTCTTAACACTATCATACCATAATGAAATTTTTGTCTTTTCTATAGATTTGTGAACTATGCCATTAGATTTCTTACCATAATCCTGACTTGAGAGCTAAGACATCTGAGCAATAGTTGCTTATTATTTGTAATAGCATAAACAAAGCTGATAAAAATTACTTTTGTAAATGTTTTTCTTTTCACTATAAGATACTAGCCTTTATAGCATTAAATGCATTAACCTTCTTATAGAAATTAGAGGGTTAACTCTGAGCATGCAGCTCCATAATTATTAAAAACAAACATTAAGCCCTGAACCAAACACAAAGTTACAATCTTAACTTAAAAATCGTATAATCTCTTTCTGCAGTCAACTCTGTTTTATAATGGTGCTCCTGATTAAAACAACACAGACAATGCTAAAACACATAGTCAAAACATTTTTAAAACTGAGCTAAATAATAACTTTTTCTACTGGGTTTCATAATAATTTTGTCTGTAGGAGAAAGGTAAGTAAATTTTGAAGGATTCTCATACTCAGGTATTGAAACTAATTACCTGAACTAATTATGCACATTGCTGTCACTCACCAAAGCTTTCTAAAACAATTTTATCTTCTTTGAAGAGGCAGAACTTAGTTTTCTCAACACAACCACAGAGTCAATTCTGAAAGTACTTTTACAAACTTGGGATCCCCATTAGTTACTATTTATCTCTTCCATTTATAGCTTGTTTATAAACTAATTACAAAAACGTGACTATGAAAGTTAGTGGTATTTTCCAGGCAGGAATTTGTTGAAGCACCCCCAAGAGTCAAAGAAAAAAATCCAGTCTCCAACTACTTTCCAATCAAGTCTAACACATTATACATATTTTTAAGTCTCCCTATTACCTATGCCCAAACATATAAGGAAGACAGGCCTTTATTTTCAAACAAACTTGGCCAGCTAAGATGTGTGCTAGAATTTCTAAATCAATACACAACTTCAAAGAATAAATTTCAGAGATTCCTTGATTAATTAATCGATTGCAGAGCATTCTATGTAAACACAAGAAAACAACTCATAAATTCTTTTTTTCTGTATTTTCAAAAAATAATGGTTTGTAAACATCAAACATTTTGTGATTGATTAAAATCTGTTAACATGAAACTGTAGCCATCAGTTGAAATATATAAGAAACTTGGTTAAAAAAAAATCAAAATTATAACCATGCGTCAGTATTTTTAAGAAGCCAAAAAATGATATTCTATTACCATGATGAGGCTAGAATTAATTTAAATAACTTTGGGATTGATTCATGAAAAACAAAAATACTTACACAGTAGGGGGGCATTATTTCTGCATTTTTTTATATGCGCAAGTCATGGTCGGCATTCAACTTCCAATTCAAAAAGAAAAGTTGCAGATTTATGTAGGCAGGTTTTTGTGTGAGTGCACAGTTCCAAAGTGAAAAATAAATAAGCCTGTAGAGAACTTACGCCTTTTAGCAAAGTGTTAAAAGGATTGCAGGCTGAACTCCAGGCCAAAAAAAAAAATCTCATCCCAATAAATTATTACCAAAATGTTAGCAAGCCCCACGTTGTCACACTCAGGCAGCAGGGACATAATGGTGACACAGAAGAAAACTGCCACATAAATCACTTTAAAATAGCCCTTTGCTTGGCACAGGGAGAAACTTCCATCCTCAGCTGAATCTCATCTCCTACCTTTTCATCTCTATGATAAAATGGCAACTGTCCAAATCACTGAAAATAATTTAAAATAAATCCCTGGAGATGTAACTGCCAAACTTAGTAATAGTCCTTCATGATTAGGAAAGCAAGAAATAAAAGAATGTGTAAGGAAAATTCTTTTCAGAAATGTCCTTCCTTTTAAATCTGCATTAATAAAGTAGATTGCAGGTTTTAAACAGAACCAAAGAATCTATAAATATTGATTTCTCCTTAATTCAGCCTTCTTAATTCCACTTGAGAAATATACTCTTTAAAAGTGCAGAAATACAGAGAAATGAATATACAAGTAAAGTAGTTCAGCATTGTCAAGGCCATTTCAACAGAAGCAAATTTATTTACCTCATGAAAAATGTTTCCAGGATTTTTATGTCTATGTAAAATAAACAATTTTAAATATTCAGACCATGTCTGAAGTTATATTTTGAGTAACTCTTCAGCAGAAATATATCTATTAAAATTGCTAATAGATAAAATATATCTATTAAAATTGCTTCTCTGAATAAAAATGGACTCTGCAATTAATGTTCATGAAAACTCATTTTGATAGCAAGTAAAGTAAATCAACATTATATCTCTTTAAAGATAAAATAGGCTGTGTATGTTTTTAAGACATATTTGTAGAAATAGAGTAGGCATCAAAATTAGAATTAATTCATCTTATTTTAACAGGAAATGTTTAATAATACTGTCATAACACTATTATTCCTCATGCTTTTTAATAAATAATTTTTGGTGCTTCTGCTTCATCCCTTAAACACCAACAGTTTCACAGGTATACCATGAAAATTTTTTTATGTTCAACTGTATCTGATTTCTTTTTAATCATATCTTGAAAATACCTGGAGAATAAGCCCAGATATTCCAGATAATTTTATTAATCCTGTGAACACTATTACATATATAACACAGACAGCACCCAACTCTTCTTGTCAATTTTGAAACAAAAGTATTACCATTACTGTCATAAACTTAGCATCCTTTAAGCTTAAGGGGGGGAAATCAACTCGCAATTTAGACAGTTACCAAATTACCAAAACTAGCGCAGCAACTCTTAATGAGCAAAACCATTAACAATTTTCTGACTGGAGCCCCTGTTCAAATACCTTGGACACCTTGTTAGCACAGAATGAGGTGTTCAATCAAGAGCCTGGGAATTGGAAGTACCAGGGCACAGTTTTGAGTGGTGATTACAAGGGCGAGAGGGCGAGTGCCAAAGTAACAGTCTTCCTACCCTGCAGGAAGCTGAGAAACCTTCAAGTCTACATTTGTAAATCAGCCCCGAAGATTACAGCAGTCACAAGCAAAGAACATATGAAACAATTATTTGCACCATTCTTCCAGTGTTTTAATTTGCTCTTAAAATGAACAAGATGATCCCCAGAGTCGCTGGCATTTTGTCTTTAGAAATTCAGAGCCCGTACTAGGATTTTTCATAGCACTGTAAGCCAAGGAAAAGACTAAAGAGATAATTTCAAAAGCCATTCTTTTTTTTTCCTCACCAGCTATTATTATTCAGGTTACCTGTAGCTTAAAATGTACAAAGTAGTCTACAGGAATATAATTTATTTTAGATATTTTATTATTGACTCTTTTCAAGCATAAAGTATGTGTGTTAATTATTAGTTTCTAATACTTATGTTACTGTTTTTCATTTAAAGTGCAGTGACTTAGACAATGAAACTCCTATATTAAAGTAATGAGGAAAAACACAATAGTCTTCCAGTTTTTAATGTTCCTAATCTGCCCCTTGACCACTGACAACTTACACATAGTGTACTGAAAGGTTTTTCCTTTGGGATATAGTATGCATGTTGCTCTCAAAACTTAATAGTGATACAGCATCAAACTTGTATTTTAAAAGCACATTTTAAATACAATATTATTTTTAAAATAACCATTATTTAAATGAAAATGTTGCACTGAAAAGCAAACTAAAGAGAAAAACTAAACCTTTCAAATGTCAATCAATTAATTTTATTGTTTTAAGCATATCTTTTTAATTAAATTGACTACTTAGATACATTAAAATTTGGGTTCCATATAATAAAATGCTTATGCTTAGAAACATGAATATATATTTAAACTGTTTTTTTCTTTATAAAATATGTGCATATTTTTCTCTTCTTAATAATTTAGTGGGTGATATACTAATTGTTTAGAGAAGAGCTTTGCAAATTAATGACAGATATGAGGGTCTACATGTAACCTACTGGTTATATTTCTTTATGTCTTTATAATGTTACAAATAACTGTACTGTGACTTATGGAAAAAGAATTTCTAAAGAACTTAAACACCAATTAATTTCATTTCTTTACATGTAAACCTACTACATTAAACCTCAATGTGTATTTTCTGTCACAGATACTGATAACTAGAAAGTATTATTTTAAAAGCCTTTGGTCCACTTCTGAATTTGAAAACATCATAAGATCCTATTTGTATAAATAAGGAAGGAAAATAATACAATTTTAACAACTTACAACTTATTTCAGGAAATCTATTAAATAACATGATTGTTTATTTTAAAGGGGGTTTATGTATTTTCCTAGAGAGCCTTCTATTTCCTCCTATTATTTCTGTCAGTTTGTTTGCTAAATGGTGCAATATTGAGTTTACAGATTTTGATTTCTCGTACTAAATCAATGGCTTAAAATACTGTAAATTCATATCAGAGATTACTGTGTAATTTTGTAATGTATTACAATCACGTCAGCTGTCCCCAGATCCACAAGCGATTATTGTCAAATGTTCCTTTTCTCAACCAGTGAAATCATTTTCATCATATGCTATCCAAATGTAGAGGGCGCTGTTGTTTATGTATTTTGAAAGTGTTTCATAAAGCAAACCACATTCAGAGGATGGTGTAGTGTTTGTTTTTCAAAAACTATCCGTATATTCCAATGGGAATTTTAACATAAAGCCAAACTTGAATTTAAAGTAACTGAAAAAGTGTTTATGTAGTAGATCAGTTAAATTCTCTTTTCTATTAATGTTATATGTATTTTAAATTTTCCTTTTGGTCTAAGTACTCTCTTTTCAAACATTGTGATGACTAGATTTTATAGGAATATTTCAGGTTTCTATTATTGTAGCTATTTAAAATATCAGCCTTGTACATAAGAGATGCATACTGAAAAATTTAGGAGTATCATTACCTTCAATTGGTTCAAAGGAAAAAATGAAATAAATGTGGCAAAGAAATACAAATCTTCAGTTGAGAACAAGCAAATGTTTTCTGTCTTGTCTTTCAACTTTTGGTATGCTTGAAATTTTTCAAATTAAAACTGGGGAAAATGTTTTGGTTGCCTATAATTTCTATGGTTATTTCTGTTAATTATTTTCCAAGTAAATATGTATTTAAAAAATATGTCACTGAGCATACCAGGTTTTACATGTTTAGTCTTTAATGCAGTCCTAATATGTGAAAGTGTATCCTGATTTTATGACAGAAATGGTATTTCTTTTATTAATTGCTTGAGGTTGAAAAGAGAATAATTTTAAAATAAAAATTTCTATTTACTCTTTATAAAATGTTATAAATGAGCATATAATGGTGATTTCTTTGATTTTGCACATTTTTCTTGAGTTTCATGAAATGATATGTTCACTTGTCTTTCTTTTTATGATATTATACTTGCTGTAAATAATTTATCATGGAATAACAACCAAAAGCAAATGATAGTCAGTTTATTCTGAACACAAATTTGAAGTAATTGGTATAGCTTACAAAAGCAATCTTAAAAATCTAAAAATTTGGATGTTATTATATCTAAAGCATTGAATAAATAATACATAAAATTAATCATCATTTTGCCAGGAATGGAAAATTCTGTACAAGAGTGACCATTATAAATTTAAAACACAGCAGCTTAGACAACTTGAAGCAACCACTGAAATTAAATTAAATTCTAATGTGCATTTTATTCTTAGTTCTTGACATTCAGCATAATACAAATAAACTACTTCATTTTTTATTTTATTTGCATATTTATTGCATATGAGTATGTTACATTGTGATAAATGCTAAGTAGAGCTAATAAAACAGTGTTCACTCTAGTTAAATAAAATCACATTTAGAATCATCCAGATTTTTGACTAAATTTCCTCCCCATTTATATATTAGAAGATATAACTCCTCTCTCATTTTTTGTTTTTAACCTAATTTGCAAAAAGAACAAGAAAGAGAATGCTAGTGACTGGTATATATAAATATGTTTTCTCTCCATGAAACTAAATCACTGGAAAAACACAAATACAGTTTAAGGAAAAGTTTTGAATGCAGCTGAGGCATAACTTTTCATCACTTCAAGTTATTGTAAAATCAAAATAAGCACGGCAGAAAGCACAGGAGAAAAAGCAGTTCACTAAAATGGCTCCTAACTTGTTCTTTTGAATAGGGTATCTGAAACTTTGTCTGGTTAAACTGTATCTAATCTAGCACAAGTAGGCATTGTCTGATTTTTATGGTATCCATGCGTGTTCAAGAAGTTTTCCACCTTAAAAGCAAGGAGGGGGATTTGTGCATGTGTGTGTGTGTGTGTGTGTGTGTGTGTGTCAGGGGAGAGGGGGTGGCAGGTCCAATCCATAACTGAGTAACAGTTGCCTTTTATGATTGGCAAGTTCTTTGGGACCAAGATACCCCCCAGCCTGAATGACTAGGACGCTGAGATGCAGTTCGGCTCTGTCTTTATGTCAAATCGCTGCCATCAAAACAATGGCTCATATTACATGAAAATCTTGTGCAAATGAGCCGTAATGGGAGTGAATGACAATCTCCTAAGACCATGCAGCAGGGCCCTCCTTTGATCTGAAATACTGTTAATCTTTCTCAAACATAGCACACTAAGTATACTTGGCAAATCCTATATGAGAAAGTCCCTACAGTGCAGATCCAGAGATAAACACGCTGTAAGGGAAACAGACACCAGGAAAAAGTTCCACATTACTCATACATTTTCATTTATTTGAGTTGTTTTTAGTTTACTTTTATATTTTGTTGCTATTGTCTTGATTTTGGTGACTGATAACTCTTCAGTCTTTCACAGACCATTTTCCTGTTTTAAGATCTTATTTGCAGTTGATAAGTCTATTGGTTAATAAGTTTGAATAGGTGATGCTAAGAATTATTTTATGAAACACTTCCAAGGGTTATAATAATTTGAGAATGTCCGAGATGCCTTATTTACATAGGCTTTTGTCATTAATCATAGTGGACTGGGACTGAAGGCTTTATGATGTTCTGCCAAAACATGAAAGAGAAGTGAGAGAGAGGAGAGAGAGAGAGAGAGAGGAGAGAGAGAGAGAGAGAGGAGAGAGAGAGAGAGAGAGAGAACTTTCAAGCATGATATTTTCTACTATAAGAAAAGACTGATTTAGGTGTTTCTAT